CCCGGCTCCACACCCTGGGAGGCAGCAGGTGACGGCTCAAGTACTTGGGTCCCTGCCACCCACACGGGAGACCTGGATTGAGTTTCGGTGTCCTGACCTCAGCCTGGCCCAGCCTTGGCTGTGGCAATCACTGAGGTCGTAAACCAGTGGGTGGAAGATCTCTGGCTGGCTGGCTGGCTGGCTGGCTGTGTCTCCTTGCTTTTCAAAATTAACCAATAAATAAATAAGGATGGGGGAAGAAGAATCCAATCAGCCAAGAGCTGAAAATGGTTGCCTTCGGAGACAGGAAGTGAGGCAGCCTGCACAGGAACCTTAGCTCTTGGCCTGCATAAATCATTTTGACTTAAAAACCAAAACCAAACATAAGTAATTAATAAATTGAAAAGACACGCCAGCATCCTCCCTGTCCCTCCGACTTTGGTGAGTTCTTGAGAGGCTGAGTAAAAATCAGGCCCTGTCCCTGCTTCTTGGCCCTGGCCTGGGTTCTTTGCAGGTTCTTCTAAGCGACTGCATCCCAGCCCACGGGCGGGGCTCAGCAAGGCTCAGGAAAACTGTGGATACACACAAAGCCAGGTGGAGCTGAGCCCCAGGCAGCCATCCCCAGAGCACACCTCCTTCCATCTGGGCAGGCTCCCAACACTCTCCCTGCTCTGACCCCAGTAGATGCTGGGTAGCACGCCAAAGGGGTGGGCTATGACAAGACCACCTGCATGCAGGGCCCTGGGGTAGGGCAGGGGGCCCTGTCTCTGTGCAGGCCTCCCCCATAACTGCTCTGAGACTTTCACACTTCCCCCAGTCCCTGCCCGGCCATCCTGAGTGGACACACAGCCAGCTCACGCCACGCCACAGGCATGGGTGTTTACAGAAAGCAGGGTCGTTATTTACAAGAACAAAAACTGAACTGATCCACTTCCAGAGACACCAGATACAGGCGGGCCAGAAGGAAAACTGCAACTTGTGCACGAGACCGGGGCGGGCTGCCCGCCTCCGCCCCCCAGGAGCCACTGCACCCAGCTCTCTGTAACAGCAGATCTTCCCCACACTAAGAAGCCACTGTGTAGTGAGGGAACCCCAGGTAAGAACACAGAGCTTTCTTCCCAGACACTTAAACCCCTGAGCTAAGACCTATCCATCCCCGGAGCTCCCTGGGCCTGCTGTTCTCAAAACCTGGGTGGCAGGAGTGACAGGGGACACGGCCCACCCCGGCCCCGCCCCCCACAAGCCTCTGCTTGCTGTCCGCTTGCGCAGGACAGGAAAGACACGGAGGGACCTTTCGTCCTGCAGTTAAGTCCCCTCAAATTCGCAGGAGGACCAGCGATGGGTCAGTGACAAAGTTGTGGACAGCCAGGGCCACGGGGTGAAGAGCGAGGACAGAAAGGGTGTGTCTGGGAAGCTCTGGTTGTTTGCATGTTTGACTTAAAATGAGTATTTCTTAGAAACGAAACCACAGCAAGTGCGGCTGCTGCGTATTTTCTAACGCCCGTACTTGGCAAAATGGAAAGTTGGCATCTCTAGTTCCTCTTCAAAATCAAATGCTGTTCTGGGAACAAAAGGTCTGGGACATATTGTGGTCGATGGTGCAAAAGAGAATAAGACCACGTTCAGGACCAAGTTCGGGGCCACGGCCACAGACCTGGAGGGTCGGGAGGCACGGACGCCTCACAGCCGATCTGCGTGTGGCCGTCGGTTGGCTAGAACACCCCGGCCAGGAACCTGGCTGTCCTGCTTGCCCCCCGTCCGTGACAGGGAGCTCATTCCCCCTGCAGGAAGTGCCTTCTGGCATTGGTGGGAAATGTCCACTGTCCTCATCCCCGGCCAGATGCTTGGACCCAAGGGTGGAGCCCGTGCTCACCCGCCCACAGGACGGCAGCCGCCACACTCCACTGTGCCTGGCCTGCCTCCTTGGGCCAGGGTCTATTTGCTCCTCGCTTCCCCTCCCCACAGTCGCTCCTCGTGCGAGGTGACCAGCCAGCGAGAGACCTCGAGCCCCGTTCTCCCCGTGCTGGCCCGAGGCCTCGTCCCCTGGTTCTTTAGCTGTGGCAGTGGCTCCGGCTCCCCGCTCATGACATGGTTCTGGCTGTTCCAGACCAGCTGGAAAAGCCACAAAGAAACCCACGTAGGGAGAAAGAGTCAACGTGATCCCAATAAACATGCACACATCTGCACGGTGCGAGGCCGGGAGAAACCCAGCCAGGCGGCCGCGGCAGGGGTCCCTTGAGAAGGGCCGGTGGTAACTTTTACATTTGCCTTCCCCCCTTTTCTAGTCTTTCCACAAGGCGTTGGGTTTTATTTATATAACAGAATAAACCAATGACCATTTAGAAATACGAAATAAGGAAAGTGAAGCGAGGGGTGGGTGCTGTGGCCCAGCGGCTGAGTTGCTGCTTGGGGTGCCCGGATGCTCTGCTTCTGATCCTGCTCCCTGCTCGTGTGCCTGTGGGGGCAGCAGGGGACGGCTCAAGTGCCTGGGCCCCTGCCACCCACGGGGGAGACCCGGATGGAGTTCTAGGCTCCTGGCTTAGACCTGGCCTAGCCCCGGCTGTTGTGGGAATTTGGAAAGTGAACCGGGGGACGGAAGATCTCTCTCTCTCTCTGTCACTCCACCTTTCAAGTAGATGAAAATGAGTAAATAAACTTAAAAAAAAAAAGTAAGAATAATGTCACATGGCCCAGGGCCCTGCTTCCTGGCTTCTCTCCCGTCACGGAGCTGGAGTTGGCCCCTTCTGCATCTCTGCTGGCCCCATCGCTCCCCTCCCCCACCGTGAAATGGAAAGAGGACTGGGGTCGGGGTGCGGCGTGCTCACCCTCCCAGTTCTTCCCCAGGTGCAGCTCGGGCCTCCTGCACGCGAGCAGATGCAACCCACATGGGCCCAGCTGTCCTGACCCCGGTCTAGGGCTTGCTCTCTGGGGCTTAGACCAGAGCCCCCAGGCCCTCCTGGGAGGAGGGTGTGCTGGGGCCAGGGCTCACCCTCCAGGGCAGGCTTTGCCCCTGGGACTCCAAGACATAGAGTCAGTACTCAGCCAAGCTCTGAATAGAAGTGGGGGTGCCAGCCCAGGGCCAGAGCCTGCCTGTGCCCCCAGAGCGTGGGCCGGTCCTGGCTCTGCCGTTCCCTGGCCCCAGGCAGGTGTTTCCTTGGAGAGCCTCAGCTCCCCTCCCCCGCACCCCCTCGTAGACTCAGGGAGGGAGCTTGGCCGAGATTGGGCTGGGTGGGCTCTAAGTCCTTTCCAGTCACCTTCAGAGTGTGGGAGCCGCACCGCACCCTGGGGAGGGCAGAAGCCCCCTTTCTGCCTCGCCTCCCTGGCTGCCCCGAGCCCCATCCTTGTCTAGGTCTGAGACATCCCAGACACCATGTGTACCTGTGTTTGCGTACACGTGTGTGCACTGTGTGTTTAAGTACACGTGTGTGCTGTGTGTACCCATATCTGAGCACACATGTGTGTGCCATGTGTCCCATGTTTGAGTATATATGTGTGCTGTGTGCACTCATGCTTGAGTACATGTGTGTGTGCACCATGCACACACGTGTTTGAGTATGTGTGTGCACCCATGTTTGGATGCATGTGTGTTTGCGTACACGTGTGTGCACTATGTGTGCCCATGTTTGAGTACACACGTGCACCATGCATGCCCAACCCGCCATGGCCTCACCTGAGAGCTGCTGATCGTGGCACAGCTGATATGACACCGAGGGGCACCTGGTGCACGTGGGAAGTGTTTGGAACCCTGGTTCTGCAGGGCCCTCTGTCTGGAAGTCCCAGAGCCTGCTGACTGTGGCTGCACCTGTCTGAGTACACGTGTGTGTCATGTGTGCCCCTGGTTGAGTACCTGTGTGTGTGCGTGTGTGTGTGTGTGGAGTGGCGGTGACCAGGTGACAGGAAGACCAGCTGCCTGTGCTGCGTTGGCCCAGGCAGAGCTTTCTGTCCCCGCGCCTCCTTGAGGATTCTGCTTCTATCCACGCCGGGAGCCCAGCTTCTCCCAGCTCCACCCCTCACCCTTTCTCACGTCTTTGCCTTCCTGTCCCTGCCGCTGCTTCAGTCCCCAGCTCTATCTCTGCCCAAGGTCAAGGCTATCACTTGGGTGAGCCGAGGACTGCTGGCTGAACGACTCTGTGGGTGCCCCCTCCCCGCCTCTCCCTCGGGAGCCAGTCCCTCCGCCCCAGTGTCCCTAGGCTTCCTCCCAGTGGTGCCCAAAGCACCCAGGGCCCTTCCTGCCCCAGATGGCCTCTCCCTGCGCCACAGCAAGCTCCAGCCGCTGTGCCGCCGGGGTCTGAATGCAACGCAGGGAAGCCGGACACGGCCGCGATTTGCGGCCTGACACCGTCTCTCTGTGCAATGCATGCATTTTCATTCGATCCTCAGGAAGGAGTTGGGAGCCCTTTGGCAGTGCACCTCGGGGGTCTTGCGGGCTGCCCTGGATTGGGTGGGTGGGGACAGGGCCTCTCCACAGTGAGACAAACCTTGCACGATTGTCCCTGAAGGACTGGGAGGTGGGGGCTGCCAATGACTCTGGCAGCACAACCCATTTCACAGGCCAGGAAATCGAGGGGTGGGTTTGGGATGTGAGGTTCACCCCAGGAACAGAAGAGACAGAAAGGGATGTGAGCACTCGGTCTCCACTCCATTCCCCAGTTTGCCAGGAGCCCACGGTGCAGGGAGGGCTGGCTAAAGGGGTAGGGGGTGGTGGAGAGGGTGACAAGAACAGACACAAATGCCCTTCTCTGCAGGTGGCAGATGGCGGCCGGGAGGACAGTGCCAGGGCTCCAGGTCACACCCTCCCGGCTGCTCGGGGAGAACCAGAGACGACGCCCTGGTTCTGCTGATCATGGCACAGCTGATATGACACTGAGGGGGGCCTGGTATGCGTGACAAGTGTTTGGAACCCTGGTTCTGCAGGCCCTCTGTCTGGAAGTCCCAGAGCCTGCTGACTGTGCCTGCACCTGCTGCCCGCCACACCCCACCCCTGCTGCCCCCTCAGGCACCCCTGCCCTGCCCAAACTCACCCTCAGGGCCGGCAGGGAGCTGAGCTGCTCTGACGTCAGCGTGGCTTCCTTGTAGCTCTTGCCAGCAGGACACAGCTTCAGGAAGGTGTCGTGGATGCTGGGGAGAGAGGCGTGTTGGCCGTGGGGGCAGGGCAGGGGACTGGGTGGTGCCACGGTCACAGAAGGGATTCAGGCTGGACAAAGAAAGAAAAAGCAGTAACACAGACACAGCACTGTGGCATAGCAGGTGAAGGCACTACCGGTGATGCCAGCATCCCACGTGGGCGCTGGTTCATGTCCCGGCTGCTCCACTTCCAATCCAGATCCCTGCTAATGGGCAGGGGAAAGCAGTGGAAGATGGTCAGAGTGTTTGGGCCCCTGCCACCCACATGGGAGACCTGGATGAAGCTCCCGGCTTTGGCCTGGCCCAGTGCTGATCATGGTGGCCTTTTGGGGAGTGAACCAGTGGATGGAAGACCTCTCTCTGTGTCTCTCACCTTGGCAACTCTGACTTTTAAAATAAATGAATAAATCTTTAAGAAAGATTGAGGGGAAAGAAGGAAGGAATGAAGGAAGGAAAGAAGGAAAAAGAGCAGTGATAACTCTGTCTACTGTTCCAGAAACATCGGCGAGGCCTGGCCGTGCCCAGCACACGGTGCGGATGCAGGCTGAGCCTGGTGTGAGGAAAGGCCCGGGGGTGCTCGGGGCCCAGCACACACTCGCCACACAGGTGCCGGAGCTGCAGCGGCACAGGGGAGCACCCTGCCGGCACCTCTCCTTCCAGGCCCCCCTCACAGATGGAGAAACCAGCAGGGGTCCCAGCTCCGGCCATCTGCCCAGCACTGTCCCAGCCTGGAGGGAAAAGGTCACTTGGTGACCTCTGTGGAAAGCCAGCGTTAGAAGCCAGCGGCCAGCAAGCCGCCGGCTGCGCTGGCCTGCTAGGCCGCGAGCCAGGTCAAGCAGATGGCGGGACACAGCCAGCGCCTTCCTCCCCATGGGCCCTGTGCCAGTCCAGGAGATGCGGCTCATGGGCGACACAGACGGGAGGTGGCGGGTGCCTCCCCTGGGAGGGAGAGGCCCCCGCCCTCCACCCTCTCACCCCAGCCTCCTCCCAGGATTCAGGGAGCGACCAGGGTGGCCAGGGGAGTACAGGGATGGTGGCCGGGCACCCGCGTCCTGGACCCCAGCTCCTGCCCCGGCAGGGCCGGCAGGCCTTGGGTGGGGGGGCGGCTCTGTTAACACTTCCCAGCCTCAGTGTCGTCGTGTGGATAAAGCACACTGACAGCGAGAGCAAAGGGCTGAGTGTGAGTGTGAGAGTGTGAGTGTGTGAACGGTGTGTGTGTGGAGGGTGAGTGTGAGTGGTGTGTGTGTGGTGGGCTGAGCATGGGTGTGAGTGTGAGGTGGGGGCGTCGTAACTACAGGCTCGTGGCCAGGACCCATGTTGGACTCCTGCCCCTGCCACTGAGCAGTGCTGAGCCCCCAGGGCAGGTGACAGCTGCCCCAGCCTCACTCGAGGACAGCACAGGGAGGCACCTGCCGTGTTGGCTTGGGGCCCGGCACGGGAGCGCACCGGGGGGTGCTGGGCCAGAGGAGAGCCGCAGCCACCCCGTCTGTGGATGGCTCTCTCCTGCCCACCAGCGCCCTCTGCCCTCTGCAGAAGACTTTGACCTGCCCCAGACCTGCTCTGCTCCTGCCCTAAGGACCCCTTCTTGCTCCAGTTACCCTCCGGTCCCTCTCCTTCCCCAGCCCTCCCCTCTGTCCACCACCACGGGGATGGAGCTAATTTACACCCAGGAGTGAATGACTAGCGGTCAGCGACATCCCCAGGGATTCTGAGTTTGACTTCCAACCAAGGCACAGTGAGTGAGCAAAGCCCAAGGTGGGCGCCTCGGAGGTACAGGAGGCCTCCCGGGCCCTGGAGAGTCAGAGGGAGGCCCAGCCCCGGGCGGGGATTGGGGAGGGGGCTCTGCTGTCTAGCCCACGGCTCACCACTAGGAGCCTGGCACGGCAGAGCCAGAAGAAATGAAACTGAGACCCCGTTTGCCCATGCAGCTGCCAGACCCCAGGCTCGGCCTCTGGCTTCCTGACAGCTTTGGTCCAGGGCAGCATCAGCAGGGGGCCAGCGGCAGGAGAAGAGAGCCCCCATTTGTGTGAGTGTGAGTGTGTGAGTGTCCCACCTGGACCCTGTGACCCACAGCCTGGGCTCCAGCCCTTGGCAGGCGACACAAGCCCAGGGGCCGGTAATGGCTGGCACCTGGCTGTCTCCCTCAGGCCCCCGGACGGCTCCTTTGCTGTGAAGACCTCCGAACACACAGCTGTGGGTACACTTGTGTCCTGTCCCTCCACTGTGAGCTGTGTGACATCGGGCGGGTTACTGCACCTCTCTGAGCAGGCAGAGCTAGGCTCTGTGCCGACTCCAGACAGGGCCAGACAAGCAGGAGTGGGCAGGAGAGGACCTTGACCCTGCGGGCCTCATGAGGGGCCCCGAGCTGTCCCCCCAGGTCTGGAAGGGAAGCCGGAAGGAAGGGCACCAAGGAAGGCACTGGACTGGGCAGGCACTGCAGACCCGCAGAGGAGAGGCAGCCACCGTCCCCTTGACTGTCCCCAACAGCCTCCTGTGGGAGGGGTGTGGGGCTGTTATCTCTGCAGATGGGTAGACTGAGGCTCCGAGAGTGTATGGGGTGTGCCCAAGGCCTTAAGCTGGCAAGAGATGGATGGAGCCCACCACCCACCCAGGTGAGAGGGCGCCGGCTCCACCCGAGGGCCTGCCAGGTCCTGGCGCCTCCCGAGGCTGTCTCCTGGGCAGGCTGCCCGCAGACGAATCACGGCCGCGTCCCGGCTGCCACAGATGCTCTCGTCCTCCAAACGTGGCTCTAATGGAGCTCTGGATTCATCGCAAATGCACTCAAAGTCAAAGCCGCAGGGAAAACTCACACGCTTAGCCTGCCAGAAATGAAGAGCTGGGGCCGGGGCTCCCTTCCAGGCCGAGCCTGCACAGCGGAGGGGCCCAGCGCCACACCTCCACACGCACTCCCCACGGGCCGTGCACCTGCCAAGTCCCCTCGAGGGCCTCAGTTTACCCCTTCTGCAGAACGAGCCTCTGGGGTGCCCTGGTTCCCTCCAGCCGGGCACACCGTGTCTCTGGGTGTCTGTGGCTCTCGCCGGCCTCCCATCCACTCCCAGGCCCCTGACACCCTCGAATGATTCTCAATGGGGTCCCCCATTCGAATCCCACCGGGAGTTTGTAAAAGGATCTGCCCCCACCCCCATCCCCAAGCTTCTCATTCAAGGTCGAGACAAGGCCCAGCACACACAGGTGCTACGAGCTCCCAGCATTTCTGCTGCACCAATGAGATGGCGACCACAGCTCAGGACAAGTGCAAACATTCCACGCGTCTGGTTTTGGCCCCCTGGGCTTTGTCTGCACCTCTTGGGGTAGCCCTGTGGTCCTAAATGGCCCTTTTAAGTCTAAAAAATTGGCTTTCAAGCCCCTGCACTGCTATGTCCAAGCTGTAGGACCCAGGGCAAGTCGCTATATTTCTTCACTGGGAAGAGGGGATGATAGCACCAGGCTAAGTACAGCTACCACATCCTCCGTGCTGAGTCGGGCACAGCGACACTGATGCCACCATCTAGAGTGTCCTAATGACAGCTTTGTGAGATGAGCTGCTGTTGCTCCCAGCACTCCCTGTCTAACAAGGATGGAAACTGAGGTTCAGTGGGGCTAAGAAACTCCCCACCCCCACCCCGGCCAGAACCAAGCCTCAAACCCAGGCCATTTTCTTCAAACCCAGGAAATACACTTGTGACCATTCCACCTGCCGACTTCTAGACGGACCCCCGGGGCTAATGGGGATTTTACAGCAGTGGGGCCTCCCGGAGGTGCTAAGAGAAAAAGCAGCCTTGAAGCTGGGTCAGCCCAGGCAGAGGCTGGGTGCAAACCGCAGGCTCCCAAACCAGGCCCACGCTCAACCTGAGAGACGCACAGTAGTTCAAAGAGCTCAGACTGAGTGCAGCCCACCTGCGCCCCAGCCGCAGGGGCCTGGACCAGACCAGGCTGTGCTCTGCTGGGGGGCCACGTGCACGTCTCTGGGTCTGCAGAGTCTGTAGCCAGAGCCAGAAGGGGCTGAGCCCCAGAGAGAGGCCTCTGGGAGGCAGGGGCGAAGGGGGACGCCACAGAAGGCCACTGAGAGGGACCTTGTTCTTACAGAGATCAAAGGACGTGGAAGATCAAAGGCTGGGGAGCCATGCCAAGGCAGCCCTGGCCAGGGAAGGCGCCTGCCCCTCCCCTTGGTACCATCTGCGGATCCAGCAGCCAGGCCTTTATGTCCTCACGCAAGTCACAGGTAAGAAGGTGGGAGAGGGACACCCTCCCCTCCACGTGTCC